TCAGAAAGTGGTAAAGAGACTACTTTTGAGAGAATATCCAACCTGGAAAGTTCTGTTGGAAGGATATCTTCCAGTGTAGCAAAATCAGAGCACGGAAAAAAATATGAACCCTCTTCCTCTCAAGCATTCAGCCTCCCTCGAAATTCTTATTCGAGGACGTTAATAAAATCGAAGCAGTCTGTATCGCAACTGAAAAATGTATTTGAAGAAAAGATAGAAGAGTCAAAAAAGCTCATATATCGGACAAAATCCGTGCCAGATTTATCTGTGTCTGTGGAGAGGAGGGGAAATTACGCCAGTAGCTCGGCAACACCAACTAGGTCACGGTCACTGCCTCGTAACGAATCTGAAGATGTGGCATCGAGGAGAGAAGTATTTGAACACAGAGAAAAAACAGGAAGCACTTTTTCACGGCCGAGCAGACCTGTGGTTAGAAGTTACCGGCAACCTTCTGGGTACGTGAGCGCAGATGATGAAGTTGGGAAAAAAAAGATGTACCCTGAGGGGGCTCCTAGCACAATCCCCAGAGTGCAGGATCCTTCGAACAATGGTCACGATGAAAGACTTTATGTAGGACGTCGATTTTCTCCTTCTGTCCCCGCACCGAGCAAATACGATCCGTATATTCCTCCAGACGACATCTATAAAGAAGTGGAGGGAGCCAAAGAAGGAAAGAAATTGGATGTCCCTCGCAAGAAATATCACTCCCCTTCTAACGCCAGCAAAATGACACTGGAATATTTCGATCACATCGGGCATGAGTGGCAGACTGGTGAGTCTAGGCATTCGAGCTCGCGGAGTCTGCCTGATCGTGAACAAGGAGCGGACAGCTTTTCCAGTGGGTTAAAACCCTCAGTGACGCACATAGAGAGGTCTGTGCCGAGAGGGAATAAACTGAAATCTCACGTTGGCTCTCGCTACGAGACTGACGACATGAAAATAGAACTGGGAAAGGCCTCCTCAGTTGACAGTGACCAACCATTTTATGAAAGTCCTGATTCTGCGAGAGGTAAGAGTAGTTTCTCGGACAGAAGCGCGGCCTTCTCTGGCGCCGATGCAGATAGATCTGAGCAGAGGAGCCGCGCACTGTCTGAACTGAGCAGTCAGAGTCTGTCGGAAGTGAGTAGCAGTAGTTTTGATCAGCGTAGTCGGACTTTGTCTCAAAGGAGTCGCGTTTCAGGAAGTACCACAGTGACAGAAGCTTCCGAAACACAACATCCAGAGTCGTCCTCGGGGTCATCTTTGCAGGCAGCTTCAACTTCACGCGACTCTTCCGCCCATCGCCATCTCTCTCACCCACCACCTCCTGCGTATCATTCATCCCACCTCTACCAGCTTCATGACTCACCAGCCCACCACCACCACCGAGGTCCACCACCACCGTATCCGCATCCTCCCCACAACTACCAATCTCACCAGACTCAAAGACTTTCACCATTGCCACGCCAATCTCCAAAAGACTCCGTGGTTCGTTCCGGCAGTGTAGCATCCTCATCCAGCACGTCGTTTTCACGCCATGGTACAACCGTCTCCAACGATCATAAGCAGACGGCGCCGGAAATACCCAAGAGAGATCCACAGCGCCGCTTCGACAAAGAAAAGCCTGACACAACAGCTTCTGAAATATCCAGCGTACCAAAAGCCGGAGACAATGTTCAAAAGGGGCACAACTATCCTCAACCAGAAGACAAACACAGGAGCAATCGAGACCTCCAGCGGAATGTGTCTACTACCGGACCCCATCCGGATAATGTCGAGCGCAGAGAGCGCAATGGCAAGAAAGTGGGAAAAACTCACTTAGTGTCAGCATGGGTGCACCAGCAAGGTATGAGATCTCATTTTAATTAAACCTCGTGTGTATAAGTTTGTGTATTAATTGTACATTTTGATAGCGTGCATGTATTTATTTATTCGTCTGTCCATTTTTAGAATTTTCTTTTCTTCATTGTTCATTCTTTTTTTTTATAAGCACATCGTTTTCTTTTTCCTTTTCTCCCTCTTGTGTGGACGAGGATATTGTGGCGTTGCTTATGGACATTGGTGTGTGCTATGCTGGTGTTTTTATGTCTTTTATCAAAGTCACTTATTATTTTTTGTGCAAAACAAAATGTCAACGTGGCCTTGGTTTTGGTCAGTTATGCTCTAGTACCCCC